TCGCTATAGAGAGGACATGGTTCATTCGATACAACCTGGACCCTGACGAGTGCAAAATATACACCTTTATTGGGATTATTACTATTTTGATCTGAAACAGAGTAGTTGAATTGGTAAAACTTTTGGAGCTCCTTACAGAGAAGAACCAACAAATGACGAAAAGGAATTCACGCAGGCAATGAGAGAATAGCAGCAATTTTGAAACAGCAAACTGTCTACATGATGACCACTCTGTACTGGTTCCTACCTGTCGATCAACAGTTGGTTTAAAAAATGAGCTCTTGTGAATTTTAATAAGAGGCCGGATTTATCGAAATAAGATCGAAATACCAGCCACAGATCCCAGTACACGGCTCGGTTATCACAGAACAAAGCACAACCCACAAGAGGCGAACGAACAACAGTGGCAAACAAACTCCCAGGTTGGGTGGTGCTGGCCAAGCAGTTTAAGTCAGTGTCGTGCTTTGGACCCTGGGTTCCCAGTTTCGAAGTCGGTAACCGCCATACACCAAACAAAAACGCGCGGAGAGTGATAGGGCTGGAATATAGCGAATTATAATTTGCAAGCTAATTCCCTTTCATTCATACTCGATTATTAGTGAACATCAAAAAGGGTTACATGTGAAGTCACTCACGCAACGGCCACATCGTATGTGTCCGGATGCACAGCAGTTTGATCCAAAGGATTGAACGTGGTCGGGTCCAGTTTAGGGAGGTCGTTTGTTTCATTGCGTTTCTTTTTCGACTGAACAGATTTCACAGTGGTACGTTTACGCTTCGTACCAGGTCGACCGTGAGCCATTCTCACCACATCTAATTCATCATCATCATCACTGTGAATTGAGATCATCTCTGCATCTCTATGGAAGTAAGAGAGGAGAGGGACAATGGAATGGGACGAGAGCGAACGCTAGTTGGTGCGGACAGATCCGGTTCATTAATTCCGCATGCGAATTATCCGAACATGACTAAAGTGACTGCAAACAGGTTGAATAGTGTTTCAAGATAGATGTATGAGGGACAATACAAAGCAATTATCAAACAATTAAAGCATTCAAAATGAGCTTGCTAAGCACAGTGATCATCAGAGTTGATACCACTAACATGATTTGAATAGTGATCGGAAACAAAAGAGTGCATATTCTGTCATCAGACTCGTGTCTGCGAGTCAGATAAAGTAACGCAACCGATAAACAAGACAGTATCTAAACAGTGGTGGTGCGAAAAACTGCATTATGAAAGTCCTCCGTTCCGGTAAACATATACAATGTCTTCGTACGATCCGCAGGAGTTATCTAAACAGATTCACTTCAATTAAACGCCTGATGCTTTACGTTGTACAGACTTGGCCAGTACGGGAAAAGGATAAAAAAAGATCGTCAGTGTTTGAACACCGCTGTCTACGTAGCATTGAACAACTCTGGTGGGGTAACTGGATGAGCAATGCTGAGGTTAGGCGTAGCGTTTTAGGCATTCGCGGTCGTCCACTGGAACAAGTGATCGACTTGCATAGATTACGCTGGTTCAGACGTGTTGCGCATGTCACCAGCTGGTTGCCAAGGTGAGCGATGTTTTCCGAGGCAGGAGGTTAAACTAAGACCTGGGACGAGGGTATAAAAATCCTAACAAAGTGAATGAGTCACATAGGACCCGTTAGGCAATCTGGTTAGGGACACCGCAATGATAGTCGCCGATGGTTAGAGACACAGCGATATGGTTAGGTGTCGCAAACAGTGACCCTCATGCATCAATTTATTAGCGAATTTATATAGACTGATGTTACCAGAATAATAAGTCTTATAACATCAGTCTATATAAATTTGCAATCTTCCGGTTGAATTTGGTCACAACAATTTAATCTTTATTCTGCACTTCTATCAAAATGGGCAATCAAAAAACAGCAGTTTATTAGTTCAGTAATTCAAAACCACTAAACGTGCACTTTCGTCCACCGGTTTTGGTTGCCGTCTTTTGGTGCCCCGTTTGGATAAAAGAGCAGAATAAAGATGGGAATGTTGAAAGCAAATTCAAGCGGAAGATGGAGAATTCATATCGAATAGTGATAGGAGAATAAAGAGTGGATGCACGAGGGCCATTGTTTGCGACACCCAGCCATATCACTCAGTGTCCCTAACCATCGGTGACCATCATCCCCAGGTCCCCCGCCAGGGAGCCTAACGAGGCCTATGTGACCTGGTCTCCTGGTTAGGGTTTTTAAACCCTCATGCCAAGTCTTAGTTTGACCGTTCTTGATCTTTTTCCAACCGCTACCAGCCTTGGTAAACATCGCTCGCCGCGGAAACCTATCGGGTGACATGCATAACACATGCACCAACCAACGTAATCTATACAGGTCGATCACTTGCTCCAGTGGACGACCGCGAATGCCTAAAACTCTACGCCTAACCTCAGCGTTGCTCATCCGGTTACCCCACCAGACTCGTGCAATGCGACGTAGGCAGCAGTGTTCGAACATCGATAATCTATTTTTATCCTGTTCCTGTAAAGGCCAAGTCTCTGCACCGTAGAGCAGGACTGGCCGAACTGCTGCAGCATACACTCGACTCTTCACAGACAGACGGATGTCACGACGGCGCCACAAATGCCTCAGGTTGGCAAATGCCAACCGAGCCTTTTGTATCCGAGCCGACACTTCGTCTGTGATGCGTCCGCCAGGTGAGATATGGCTGCCCAGGTAGCAAAATTTGTCTACTTTCTCTACAATTTTCCCCGGTCAGGGTGAGGTTGGGGTCTGGGTCAACCCAGTCTTGGAGCAGCATTTTACTCTTTGAAGATGCAAAACGCATACGGAACATGGACACACTCGCACTCAAACTATCCAAAAAAGCTTGCAACTTACCTGGATCTTCACTTAGTAGCACAATGTCGTCTGTATAATCTAGCGGTTTTGGACTGGCTCGAACCAAGACATGAGCAGTCATCTGAAGAAAGATCGTATTAATTCAAGTGAAAAAGGTTTGAAGTAACAGGAAACGCTGGTTGAGAATCAGTTTTTTCGGTCNATACACTCGACTCTTCACAGACAGACGGATGTCACGACGGCGCCACAAATGCCTCAGGTTGGCAAATGCCAACCGAGCCTTTTGTATCCGAGCCGACACTTCGTCTGTGATGCGTCCGCCAGGTGAGATATGGCTGCCCAGGTAGCAAAATTTGTCTACTTTCTCTACAATTTTCCCCGGTCAGGGTGAGGTTGGGGTCTGGGTCAACCCAGTCTTGGAGCAGCATTTTACTCTTTGAAGATGCAAAACGCATACGGAACATGGACACACTCGCACTCAAACTATCCAAAAAAGCTTGCAACTTACCTGGATCTTCACTTAGTAGCACAATGTCGTCGGAATACTTTTAATGAGAGAGTCCGCCACCCGGGAGTAAATCGATGCTGCTATCCTCGCATGAGGATAGGGTTGCTTCAAGAACTAAATTTATAACAAAGTTATGAAGACATAAAGAAAGAGGGTAACTCTGTCGAACACCACTATCAGTAATGAACTCGGGTGAAAAAGTGTCGTAAGCTCGGACTCGGCTTCGGCTACTATGGTAGACGGATTGTGATGTTGAAACTTCTCGGGCATACGCTTCAGGGAAGGGCAGTGCCAGAGTTTAGAGCGGTCGACTGAGACGAAAGGCGCTTTCAGATCGAGGAAGATAGAAATGGTGGGTCTACGAAAGCAGTGTGTCTGTTCTAGAATTTGACGAAGTGTAAAGATGTGGTCAATGCAGCGTCGACCAGCGTACACCGCGTACACCGTTCACGTGCGGTAGGCAATCGACTGAGTGTGATAACAGCGAGAAGTTTCGATGCGATGTTGATTAAAGCAATTCCTCTGTGGTTTTCACAGGAGGATCTGTCACCTCTCTTGTAAATCGGTATGATCACCGATTCACACCATCAAAATACAGCAACCAAAACGTGAGCACGAAGGTGCATGGTTAATGATTAAAGAAACTGAAACATCTGACGGGAAATTCTAGTTTATTGATTTATAGAGATGAGTGAGTACTGTACTGAGGTAGGAGAGTGAAAAAATCCCCAGCCGGGACGGGATAGATGAACCACGGAAAGAGAAGCATGTGGATTACCTCTAAAACAATGTAGGCAGGAAGATCATCGACTGTTTGGCATTCTGAAAGTATGAATTGCATTTGATGAGCCCATTTAATTCCCACGACGTTGGTTGTATTACGACAGATCAGGATCAGAACATAAACCGGGAGAAATGCCGAATACTTACTTCGATGCATCCAGAGGTACCGTGGACACTATCGGCCGAATGCGAATGAAACCGGCACATTGAGCATATGTTGTCGGACCGATTCCTTTTACCTAACAGTATAATAGAAAAGAAAACGCAAAATTAAAACCAAACCCTTTGGTTCGAACAAAAGAAAACGGTCTCGAGATTAGTCACTAATTTCCTACAACGGACGATAGTCACCGTTCGCAGAAAGTCAAACACGTAGCGATTTAAAATCAATAAACTGGTCTGTCAACATTCCCTTGGGCGTGCACATTCGAAGCCCGATAGCGCAATAAATATACACGCCGATTTTCTCTTTAAAACGTTATCCATCTATGGAAGATTTCCAATAAGAAGTATGGCGAACATGCGCATTTTCGTAACTTCATTTTCAGGCATTTCAAGGTCGAAATGAACGTGATTGGTTCATTGAAGTAAAATGGGAAAGAACCATTATGTCCGTTTGACACCACCACCGTGCCAACAGAAGAAAATGGTTGCCGCATTCCAGTTACCCCAACCTACGTGACAAACCGAACAATGACCTCAATCATGTTGTGATGATGCAATACGGGTGTGACACACGTCACATTAAAAAGGTCATCGGAAATTTCCAGATTTGACCCCGAGTCCCTCCAACCCTCTTCCCTTTCTCCATGTGTCCTCATACAACTTGACTAATATGGTTACTCTTTCCCATTTAATCTCAACGAACTAATCACATGCATTTCTACCTCACAGATGAAACATGACTGTAAATGCCTGTAGACGAAGTTACGAAAATATGCTTGTTCGATACATTGATTGTATTGATCCATTCAATTTAAGGTCACTTATGGTCAAATCAAGTGCACGTGCATTGCTTCAGAGGATTAACTGAAAGCGCTACCTTGTGTAAAGCCATTTAACGGAGATTATTCGCGTAGCTCATTTCGCAAAAGTTATTTATATCTATATAGAACAGACTACTGTTGCACATCTCTAACGATCCTGCCGAGCCGCCAGTACGTACCAAGACTGTCTAACCACCGGGACTAGAAATGCTAACGTTCGGGTTGGGAATCGAAACTCTGAGCTACACGACCGATGTACAACACCCTGAACGGATGACTACGTGAACTCCCAACAAGTGACACAAGATTACGATACGCAGATCCTGGGGTCCGAAAATCCACATAAACAATAGCGAGAGATATTCATTACAAGCTGAAACAAATTACTTTAGACTACAGTGGGCCGTCATTCTGGTGACGGTAGTCAAAATGGTTTAGTCACTGTCACTGACCCCAAAGCTCAAGGTTTGGATCCTGCTACTGTGATTCAAATTTGGTGGTGGGACAGCTTCGTTGTTGTCACGCTCAATTTCAGCCTATCGTGCTTCAGCCCAACCTAGTGCGATACTCCAAGCCACGAGGTCAAGGTTGCCGATTACAGAGAAACTGAAACACAGGCACTTGTACATAGCGAGTGAATTTACCACGATTAACGATTTGATCTAATAACCACTAACACACCAGCACGGGAAACCGTGCGGACACGAACAAAACAGACCTTGAGCAAGTACGCTCGCGTGGGAAACCGGCCGATACGGGACCGATGCTCCACAATCGCTTTCGCCTTCGACTCAGACAGACCGGCTACCCGGGACAAAATGTGCACAGGAGCTGCATTCACATCCACGCCGACAAAACTGATGCACTCCTCCAGGGTTGCGTTCACTGCGGCCACCAGTCGTCGTTCGGGCAAATCGTGCTGATACATACCGACCCCAATGTGTTTCGGATCCATTTTGACCCANGACCCATTCAGCCAATGGGTCTTGCAAACGTCGAGCGATTGAGACCGCGCCACGCATACTCACATCCAGTGAGGCCAACTCAGAACAAGCTGCGATCGATGCACTGTACACGGACGCGCCGGCCTCCGGTACGACGGCATAACGAACCGTAAGAGGGTGAAAGCGGCCGGAAGAAATCAGCTGACTCAGCCACATACCAGTTTCGCGACTGGCTTGACCGTTGCCGAGGGCAATAACCTCGATGCTATGAGACAATCCAACAAACAGAACGAAAGGAATTTGAAACGTTAAGTAGATGAATTGCAGGAAGCAAATACATGAAAACGTTTCCTTCCACAGAATATAATCTCAAGACAAAAGCGACAGAAAACAAGTGGTTATGTCAACGTAAGAACTGTGGTGTAGTGAGTAGTATCCTATGGAGTTGAGCCATTCCACCACTGTGCATTGAGGTAAGGTGAACGTAACTTGATATCTTTTTTCTCATGATAGACCAGAAGATTTATTTTATTTAATCCTTGAATACAATCTGACAGAGTTTACGAAGAAACGCAACACAGCAAATTGCGGAGAGAAATTTGGTCGATTAGACAGCCCATTTTCAGGATGATAATGTTACATAAACCATAGTTTGATTTTTACGCGGATAATTTCCCCGGTTTTATGGGTACCACGAATACTGATTGCTTATCGCAGTTGTAGTGTCAGTCTGTGCACAGGAAGGAAGAAAGACATCGTCGCACAAGTTCCTTAGTTGGACTACGTAGAGCATGACCGAACCATTTCAATTCTCTTTGCTTTAGAAGCTGCGACAATCGTGTATGCCGCAGCAAATTCATCGCAGGGAACTATTCGATACTTTGAAGATATGTAGCTACTTGCTCATTTGTCATACTAGTCACCGTTAGCCATCCGCCAAGGGCACCAGCGCCCAAACACCGTTAGCTTTTTTCATACCTTTCGCATGTAGTCACCGAGTATCGGTAGAGAAGTAGAATAGGACCAGAGATTTTTGTTTTGGCGCTAGATATGAGCAATGCCCACTGTAAATGAAGTTGAGTTTAGTAACCAGAAGGATTTTATTTCTAATTTACTAGCCCGTTCGGCTTTCATCACCAGTTTCATAATGAGTTCGAAGCAGAGAACTGGTCATAATGAATAAGGTGTGTATGTAAGTGTGTGTACCTCGGGAAGAAAACGTCGAAAACCAAGGACAAACAGTGCTTTTTCTGTAAGGAAGCCTCTCTGGAACGGACGAAAGAGCTTAATTTGAGATTCAATCAGGATTGTATTGGTCTAGGTCTGTACTAAATAGGATGTTATTTTACGAGTTTTGAATATTGGAAATTTCGTCACATATTCGCAAACCATTTCTTGAGTGAATGAAAATATTAAAACGATGCACTTCGGCGGTGCAGGATGAACTAGTTGCGAGAAATTGCAACCGTATCCAGAAAATGGTTACAAAAATATTAAAAGTGTAGTGGCCTAGAAATCAACCCAGATTTGTTCTCGGTAAATGTCCTCATTCTACTACAAAAGGTCACACCTAGTACAGGTAACTATAGATCAGGGAGTGATACCCTTTGTATTGGAGTTGTATTTGTCGGCGAAGGACGGCGCACAACGGAATTCCCACTGACGAAGTGATTACAGCAGGACGTGCCGGTTCCAAGTGAACAGTTCCATGGATAGATTCAGTCTAGATGCGTAACATTTCACTAACACTTCTTTAGTAGCACATAAATATAGTCTGTCGGATGCACCTTCCTTTCATCAAGGAAGCATACATTTTGCAGACTATCTGTTCACTGGGTGAGTGCAGAGAATAAAGCAACTTTTTGATGACCGTGCCATTTATCAAACTGTTGGTCGAAAAAGATGAGAACAACTCTCTAGCAGAGCAAATCACGCACACATTTGCCTCCACGGGTACCACATTCGAACGAGATGCTATCAGACGAGTAGTTAGGCAGCATTCATTGTTGGTAAATGCCACTGTTTCTCGATTAATAGTTCAACATTATCGAAACAAGACAGGTTGTAGTGAATGATACTCCGAAGTCTATAGAGGAATCCGTAGCACGAGAAGAAACGGAATATCCATACTTCCTAGAACGACTGAATGGTCATTTTGACCAGTATTCTAATTAATCGCTCGCATTTCTCGACGTTGGTATGTTGTGTCGTCAGATTTTCCAAATCAATTTACCCTCCATGTTAGTCGTCGAATGAAACAACAGAAACATAGATGAGCGCCGAGAATAACACATCGACGAGGCAAAAAAAAGTCAAAATATTTTCACAGTGGTGAACACAGTCTTAAAAATGAAAAGACTCCTTTAGCAAAGTGGTAGCACATGTACACAAGTGAAATAAGCACGAAAAGTGAACTCTACGCAATCGTGAAAACCACGATCGGGCCAAAATTGAGCGCGCGCGCTCATTAGCATACATCATCGATTACGTTTAACCCCGTCCACACCGAACTGACCATTACATAGCTATCCTGAAGGTACGTAAAAGGATGATAAATGAATAAAAGAATGGTACGTAAACAACAAGACACCATCGATTACTGAACTCTATAGAGATTGAATCATAAACTGTGTATTTTCCCTTCTGACTGGGAGCAACACGTTCAGTGGAATCAATTGCTCGTCGACCGTAAGTGCGAAATGAGGCTTGCGAAATTGGTGTTCGCGATGAACGCTTGATGATGCACGTCATTCTATCCAATGAATACGACCGATGCTCACCTCAATCACATGTATCACCGAACCGAAATGGCCTTTCAAAGCACACATATGATAACGAAGGAGACTGGAAGTGTTTCAAACAGGTAGTTCGTCCGATGCACAAACTGCACCCGCTCATTTTCAACCGTTTTCAACTTCTGTGTTCATTTGCTGCTAACCAGAATTCTATTCAGATTTCTATTAGCACAACATTTGCAATCTTCTGTGCTCACATTAAAGATAAAAATAGCCACTGAATATGCATGGGTCAAGGTGAACAGGGATCGAAATCGAAAAAACACAAAACAAATCTCAGGTATGCAAGCGATTCCCAACTGCTTTGTTTCTATCCCGAAGAATACGATGTTTCGATGAGAACAAAAGTCAGAAAGGTCCATGTGTGATGAGAGTTCGAACCGTGCCGCAGTTCACTTACATCGGATAGCACGTGATTAGTCGGCCTCGCTATCAACCTTATCAGTATTGACAGTCATAATGATTGTTGATCTGTATTCCACCAATTGACTCTTTAATTTGTGTTGACATAATTACAGTCAGCCCGTTCCATTTCAGTGACTCGTGTTCTTAACAAACCACTAAATCTGTACAAAGGATGTGTACGACCTTTGAGAATTTGCATAGCCAACCTCTCGCATGCATTAGTTCAACAAATAACATTTGATGATAGGCAGTGGATAGACGACTGATACTGTCCAAGTTTCCGAATCTGAACAGAGAGATAACACTGTATTTTTTAACACGACGCTCTATGCGACAGGTTCAACGGAAAGGGTCCTCTAGCGTACTACCGATATTCAACGGATTTCGAGTGGGGTGGGGAATCAGCATTCGATACAGCTATTTCACAACCTGAATCGCATTGGAGCATTGTTTCCACCGTCCAGGATGTCACTGTAACGCAAAACGGTTTCTTGCAAGTGCAAGACAGAACCAAGCAAAGAAAGGAGTTCTGAAATCGTAGGAACAGGCACATATGCAAATTGAACTTTCCAAGTAACGCTTGTTATTGGGGCGAACAACAGCTAGCGCACTAACCGTTTTGAATGACAGGACAATGATGAAATTGGACTGCTAAATCACCAAAGCTTATCACAGCAACTAAGATCGAACGAGACCCTGTTGTGTACAGTTCGAGTAATGCACTTTCATTTTGTGAATCTCGTGGCAGAATCATTTGATGAACTTGGTCAGTCACTTAGATCATGACTCATCGCGGTGATACTGTGGGCGAACAAATTTGGCTGTACCGAATGTACCGATCGGTTTCAGTTGGCAATGGGGACGACAAAAAAATGGGTTAGTTCGAAAATAATAAAAACGACTGTTTAACTCTAGCTGAGATATAGGCAATAAACAAGGTCGGTGCCTCTAGATTGAATAAGGTATCTTCGATACCAACCAACCTTCTAGGAAATACAAGTTACATCGACTTGGGAAAAGACCTAAAAACATAATGACTCGGGAATGCACCTGCATAAGATTCTGCACGTTCGAAAAGAGTAAAATGGTCAAAATGTTTGTTAGAGTTGTCTAGCGTTGGAAAAAGGGTATGTCCCCTGATGAGTTTAGAATTTACGCAGATAAATGTTGGATACCTATGATCTAATTTCACGAAACCCTGTGAAGATTCGTTGGATGTTTGGTTGTCATTGACACCTCAAGTACGTTGAAGACATGGTAGCAACGGAGCGCGAAAAACCGGACTATGTTGCGTGGAAGCAGCGGCTGTATCAGGGAATAATCAAAGACTGTTCCGACTGATACGCAATATGGGAGGTCGGCGAACTCCATTCAGTGAAACAGTCTGCGATAAGAGGGTACAAGCTATTCACAATAGGGATCAACGACTCGTTCGCTGGACAGATTACTTCAGCGAACAGTTCAGCTGGCCGAGTGCTAACCACGCTGCTTCATCTCCGACTGAAGCTCCGTGGGCAGTGTCATGCGATCCTTCAACGG